CGTACTCTTATTTCGAATTTCGACCGTCAAGGGTTCTTTTACGTGCAGATAATTGGTGACTGGGAACGATAAAAGTGCGATCTAACATCAACAGAAAGTGTTTAGCTATCAATGTAACAAGACAGTGTTCACATTCTGGTTGAGGCTATCGTTTCAAGATGAAATTGAGTTAAAAAGTATGACCTATGCGAGAGACACACAAAACAACTTCACCCCCCCCCCCTTTTGGAGGTTGACCAGTCTCCTAAGAGAGGCTTAATGTTATGGAGTTTTTTTGTGTCTGCAAGATCGCAAGACCGTTACCAGCGGCCATAAAAAAATGTATTTATTATAAATTTAAACACGGAGATTAGAAGATCCAAATGACTGGGTAGCCAGAAAAGGCCAGCGTCCTTGCCGATGAACGCGTGTGATAATATCTGCTACTAATGGATGATCAAGCTGTTTTTTATTTATAGCTTGAAGGCAGGACATAGAATCAGAAAAGATAACATGCTTTAATATTGATAATGATTGAATGAACTCCAAGGAAGCAGCAGGAGGAAGATGAACAAAATGGTCTCAGATGCTGTGACGAGGCTATCCGATCACCATCTATTTGCCCAACCGGGTCTATATTGTTAGACATTGGACTTTTTAAAAGACACAGGTTTTTATTATAAATTTTATCATTTCATTTTTATATTTTAAATATGTTTTATGCATAGTTATATATTTTTGTAAATTTTACAACCCCTGTGATTTGTTTTTATATGCATATCAATTTGTTTTGTGATATAATCTAGTTATATTTGGTGCAATATAGCCCGGTTGAAGCTTACGTGCCATAAAACTTCATTTCATTCACTTCTCTGTCCTGTACGACTGACAAGGAGAAAACACGGCGGAAATTCCGAAAAAACTTCCTCAGCCAACACCTGGAGCGAACGCGAGACCTCTTGTTTATCGACCCAGTGCCTTACTCACTGAACCACCGTGTTCCGTTTTACTTCAGAATGATTAAAGTAATGCAAAATGGTGAATTAATATGCATATTTAGTAATTCTCACTTTGGGAAATTTTATCGCTTCGCATCGTTACTTGGCCATCGTCAGTGTAGGTGATATTACATATATAAGTTACACACGGATTACTGGAATCCGGATAAGTGTCGTTGGCCTTATAACATTTATTGTTATAACTGCAACCTGAAATTAAGATAAATCCAATATAATTAGAAGTAGTAAAGTCTATTTGTGAACAGAATAAAGCGCCTCCGGTATTCCATATTACCGTTAAAATGATTGCTGTGCAATAGTATAAAATTTACGGAACAGAAATAGCTATCCATTTCTCTATTCACTAGTTTCAATGCGTTGAACTAGATCTAGAGATATCGCATGAGTTAAGCACCAGCTCCAAATTTCGCCTAGATTAATACAGCGCTGTATCCATTCAGGCGCTTCTAAGCAAGGAGCGTATAACATCTACGCGTACTATAAGCTAAGCCAGCCTAACTATTTAGCGTAATCGTCATTTTGCCAGAGTGATTCTTTCTGCGCATGTCCAAAACTAGCTGTAGTCGGCCATGAGTTCAGAAGGCCAAGATAAGTCAGCTGCAGGTAGCGAGCTGGGTTATTTGCGTCGCCTTTGCGTTTACCTGGCATAGCGAGCGCCGATAATTTTAATCAAGCGACGCCCATACACACAACCCAGGTTTTGGTCAAATCCAGTCAACAGTCATCAAGAATTACTGGAAACAGCCATTCAATTAAGATGTTTTCATACCATTTACCATATTTCAACTTTGTGAGCTTACGAAAAAATAGTTTCGACCATGTGTGATATAGTCAACTGTTGAGTAACCTTCCCGGATTGTGAGTGGGACTGGATGAGCAATAACACAGCAAGTACGATAGTACTCTATGGGCCAGGAAACAAGTATGACGTCATTGCCGCCATCGAATTACAACAAGCAATGCGCAATTGTTCAAGAAACAAGCATGCAATTGATCGCTGTCAATACTACGCGCGTGTAGCTTATTTCTGGTTTGCTTATGGGGTGATATTAAAGTATGAAAGCGACCAGCAAAGAGGTACCAAATCTTTTCTTCTCGAATTGAAAAGAAAATTGTAAAGAAAACTGCAAAAATTGTAAAAATTTGCCTGCTTCAACAATGCTGATTCTGCATGAATATTCTGTTACAAAACATTTAATCTTGTTGCACGTGTAATATGGCCTGATTTCATTAGCTGCCATACATCCACCAGTCGGATCTTTACAACCTTTAAACAAAAATAATCTCCCTTAATAATTATATATATCTTTAACTTGCCTTTGGACAGAATACCTAAAGTCACGATGCGTCATTTGCATTATTCGGTAATGTAACAAATTTCCCACGACTTACTCTACGCTGATATGTACTCATATTGATTATTTAATATATAATTACGAGAACAAAATTAAAATAACAAGGCTTGAATTCAATCGGATTCAAAACAGGCCGATCAATAAATTCTCGCGGACAACAAAAGGTTGGAGGGCTTATTACATAGCGAACAGCATAGATCGATAAAATTTCAATTCCACATATCTGAACGTTATTGAACCATTTTTAGACTGGCACAGAGTCCGATCTTTCCCAATAATACAAATAGCACTAAATGACGCATCGAAACTTTATGAGGTACGATAATATTAAAAGCATGAATAGTGTTCGACTTATTTTGTATACCGGACATGCTTGCATCCAACACTTTTATTATACTTTATACTTGCAGCTATAGAACCGATAGAAATGTTGGAATATCCGCAGCAGAATATGCATTTCGAGCACATGATATCAATATTAGCGCCATCGCAAGCGGCGGCGTGCTGACACCTGACACCCCTATCCTTGCGGTGGGGTTGAAAATATTAAAGTACGGCAATTGCTACAAAGCAAACAAATTGAAAACAAGGTCATAGTCACGTTGATGTGTTTGTAGGGTCCAGTTAAGCAACTAGATAACGTAAAAGTTTAGCAAGAAAGACCAATTAAAAATCATGCGGATCACCGACGCTTAATTTTAATAAAATCATTGGATAGCACAAAATCAATTGTATTCATATATTATTATGCTTTCATTTTTCGTACACACAAATTCAACCCGTTGATGAAAAAAAAATGGCGTTCAACTGGCAGTTATAGCAGAAAGCCAGCGCTGCACTGATGACTCAAAGTGGGAATTAGGTAAATTAATATTTCAAATACATGCGGAGACTGGTCATTTGATTGAGATTTTATAAATATGATTTATCGATCATGTGCATACCAAATAAACAAATGGTATCCATTATCTCAGACGCATGTCCAGAGGATGTCGATGGGTCGACTGGACCCTTCCCTGTTCTCCTACATTCCATCGAATGAACGTGGAACAACAAACATTGCCGCCCTTTTTGGTTCACTCCACTCTAATCCTATAGATGTATGCAAGTAAATAAGCAGAAACTCAAAGCTTCTGATTCTATTAAATCCTCAGACGGCACATCATACTTGACGTTGTCGCCACCTTAGATCCCCCGCTGCTCAAATTCCTTTCCACTTTAAAATTAGCAAATAGCGCCAAAAAATATATACCTTTAGCGATCATGACAGATTTAAACATATTGTTTACATTCTGGCATTCATAAGTCTTACAACTTTCATTCCATGTACTACCTTCTGCACGACATACACCACCCCATGAGCAACCTGTATAAACAAAGCATTATGTGTTCCTCTAAAATTTATAATGTGTAAAATTATTAAGACATATTGTAAATGATAATTAGCAAGGCATTTGAACTTCCGATCTGAAAACTCTTTTTTCAAATGTCTGTTATTTCATTGATAAGGTTATAGACATATTTAATCGCTTCTCAGTATCATAACAGCAGCCTGCATTATGTAGCAAATAGTCGGCCATATTCCCCTAGGTGAAAGTGGATGGATGCATCCCTCTGTTGGAAAACAGGACAGTAAATTACAGACAGAACAAACATAAACTCCGTATTAACGCCAAAGTATTAGCTATATTTGAACATATACATATATTCCATATTCTAAGGTATATTGATGGCGTCAATAAGACAACACACGGGCTACGCGCAGCAACATTACAGTCGTCTTAAACAAACTCTTGAAAACTTTCGTTTTGACCTCGTTCCACTCTAATCCTATATGCACCTAAATGAGAATAAATATTGTCTAAGAGCTTCTGATTTTATAAAAAGACTCGGGCAATCCCCCGGGGATCTCGCCAATCTGGACGTTGTCTCCACCCGTAACCCCCTCTGCTCAAATTCATGAAGACGCCCCTGTTCTTACCTATGAAGTTTTAAAAAAGTCTGAAGAAGAAACATTGTCTGTAGGGTGTTAACGAACTCTAAATAACTTAGACCTGGTATTAAAAAGTCGGTGAAATCCGACAAGAACTGTAGCTCGTGGAATGTCAACAAGCAATGGTACACGGACGACGGAAAAAGGTAACAACATCACTGTCTGCACTAAATGTAGGGTGTATATGCGTTACTTTATGTTCGAACTGGGGAACAATCAGGTGCATATGTCCATTAGAGAAAGGTAAAATCAAGATAATTTATAATAAATGTCTATTATTATAGCAACATAAGCATTAGCGAAAAGGTCAAATAGGGATAATTTATAATAAATTCCTATTATTATAGCAATACAAGAATTAGAGAAAAGGTAAAATCGGGATAATTTATAATAAATATAAATACAAGCATTAGCGAAAACTCTAAAATCAAGATAATTTATTATAAATGGATATTATTTTAGCAATGCAAGCATTTGCGCACAACATTTTCATTTGCATTCTCCTCAAGTTGATCTGCAAAATGTAGATAAAATACATCACTTTTAATTTCTGCTCTGCTATTATAATCGTCTGAAACTAAACCATTGAAAAACAACAATCATTATGCACATCGACAGATGCATGATTTACAGAATTGAAACGAATCAACTTACCACCCTTGACAGATTCTAGCTTGATGGAATCACCATACACATTACATGTATAAGTTGTACAACCACTCGTCCAGTTTGCGTTCTGAGCTACGCAGCTTCCATCAAAGGTTCGACATTCTAAGAATTAAAGTTAGAATAATATATAAATATTTGTCATTTTCTGCTACACCTAAAAGGGGTTTTTATTGGAAGAGCAATTCCACTGTTCGCTGTGATCTTTATATTATCAGAAATCAGAAATACTTTACTATTAGCATCTTATGCTTAATTCCAGATAGTTCAGTTATTTCCCACAGTAAACGAGTGTTGGACGCTAAAACAATATGACTCATGGGAAGAAAAACTGCGACCCTGTTCATACAGTGGATGTTGGTATTCGAAGAAGCACCTCTGTGCGGACAGCTTTTCCCCGCGCATAACACACTACATGGTGTATGCCCGTCTTCATTACCCGGTTGGTTCAGAAAAGTGGAACGCTAAAACCTAACTACATTCCCGACGCTCTTCGGATTACGTTTTTAATTGTCTTTAAGGTATATAATCTTGAATGCGGACTAAAATATATTCGCACTTAGTTAAAAGAACTTACGGCCATCGATTGCTATTAATCCACATTCCTCTTCTCCTTTTCTACATTGATATATAGCGCAACCAATTGATACATTGGCACCAACATCTATACACGTTCCATTACCTACGTCACATCCTGTATTATAAAATAATACGTATTATAATATGCAGTGTCAACACAGACTCATCTGCTCTCACTTCTGTCCTGAATGAGAAAAATCAACTGTACCACATTTTCACATATTCCCCCTAATCCTTCTTCCAAATACGCTGATTGCTAACGACCTCTGCGACCATGCATATTAATGATGCTAACGACCCCTGCGACCATGCATATTAATAAAATAAACGTATAGCATGCGTTTTCCCCCAAATGACTTAGTTGCGTTGATCAGACGTTATTAATCTCTCTGGTGCAAGCTGAGGATTCGCGTAGCTTGTCGTCGGTAGTTTATTATTCATTAATTTCGTTGGTGCCACCAGTCTTCATCAGAAATCTAGGACGTTTGCCCCATTTCATTTATTTCTTTAGTGCAATGGCGCATCGCGTCTCGCGCATGACCCATTATTATGCAGGTGTAGGGTAGCTAAAAAGAAAAGTAAATTGTAAGTAAAAAAACAAAATGGCGCTTCATCGCGGAGAATGGGTCACCCGTAGTTTTCAGACGCTCATATAAAATACACCAAAGCCTGCGTTTAGCTTTACTCACGGATACCATCATTATGCCAAGAATTCAATAAGTGGCACAATCAAGAAAACTGAAAAAAAAATTCGAAAAGCAGATTTGTAAAAAAATTTCCATGCCGCTGTAGCCTTTGACATGCCTTTCGCTTATTAACCCTTTTCAGAAAAGCCATGCACGAAGATTCTGTACAGCGCCTTGCTCGTATCTTAGTACTTTCTGATTTAAGGTTCTTCCCACAGGTCCGGTCCGGATCAGAATAACATACCTGCATTCAAATACTCAACACTCCATCTAAACATAGTTGAATTACTGAAAACATCACACGTGAAGTTCGAACATCCTGAATTCCAAATCTGATCCTTGGTTCTACAGTGTCCTTGATGCATGCAACCTAGCGTTAAAATATATTATTATTATTTTACTCCTACGGAAATTTTGGAGGGGCGGGGGAGGGGTTGGGCTTAGTCGTGACCGAATAGTCTGACGTGCGCTTTAGATATAAAATCTGCCATTAAACAAGTGGCGTGGTCTAGATTCCCCACTTGAAGATGAAAAGGGGTAGGGTCGCCTGTCCAACATCATGGGTTTTCTCCGGGTCATCCCGAAATGACCTAGTTAATTTTGAGTCGAGTGTACGTTAAACCCCATTTCTCTCTCTTTCTCTCACGATTTCTAGGGAAATGATGTCATGAGGTCATATTCATATAGGCCATACAACATAGGTGCATGTGATAAGATTTCTAGGGAAATGTGTCAAATGTCATAATCTTATTTTAATCCGTTAAAACAAATCCGTTAAATATCTATTGAAGTGACTGAAGTATTGAAAAGTTTGCGTGCCACTGGAGAGCATTTTGCTCGCTTTTGTGCCGCCCACTATATCTCTTAGCAGCCACTCCTACATCGCCTTGTAAGCGCCCCCCCCCCCCTCCGTAAAAAATTAAAACAAAAATTTAAAAAGAAGTAAGTATAAATCATATAAAGCGCCGTTACATCTTTGCTCAATATTTTATGATGTGCGTGTTGGCCTTTACCTCCGCCAACAAGCGATAGTCGTCGCTGTCCAGTCCATTGGTTAATAAAACACTGGTAGTCCCAGCACTGGTTTTTCACAATAGTACCCACATCATGACAAGTTCCATTCACATCGGCGCATGCTAAAATAAAATCATTATTTGTTATCAAACATTTTATCAAATAAGTAGTAGCGCTCTGCTTAAGAAATATTTTTCATTGTGGCTGCCCAAGTAATGATTAAAATGATTTTGAATCCAATGCAAATTACAATATTGTGAAAGTTGCAACTCCAAAAGTAGGGTGACCTATGTACTCTACAGAAATACAGTCCATCGCTGATAGTTCGAGACTACCACTGAAGCGTGCACATTCGCCGTGCCGAGACCAACTTTCTGACAGTATGATACTATAAATAGCCATGGCACGTGCAATTCTCTACAAATCTATCAACTATTACAGCCGTAAAAAAAATATTGTTGACGATTTTGAATAGCAGTGAAACTAGGCTTCTTGGTTACTACAGCAGATTTAGAAATTACGTTCGTTTCATTTTTTAAATCGCTTTATCATTAACTGTACCGTTAAGAGCGGCATCTTTTGGTTTAGTACAAATAATATCTCTGAATCACTCGGGTTAGACAGGAACATGATACTAGCAGTAGTTTCATTTTACTTTTACAAGGTTCTTAAAACGATTGTTGAGCTACCTAACGTGCTTATTTCTAAATTCAATTTCTTGTTCTAGCTTTCTGTTATGTTTCGTAAAAAAAGTAGTCTTGATTATCCCGACCTGTCAATCAGACGTAGAATGGTCGATAGACTGGTTAAGCGAGACTAATTTCAAAACAAGGGCACGTAACCTATCTTTTACTCAAAAGTGTCTGGATGTTATGGACGACACTTGGAACCAGTTTTCAGTCTATTATTTATAGATGATTAATGGTCATAGCTTATTAAGTACAACATGATCGTTAATTTAGTGACTATAATTGTGTGAAACTGATTTGAGGCTTGGCATATATATAAATATTGTGGCGTAATTGTCGAGATATATGGAGATATTTATTTATGGTGGGTCACCCTACCAAAAGAAATGTCAGTCCGAAAATTTGTCAGCTTTCGACATCACCTGCAGATGATATAGAGGAATAGGTGGTCAAAACACTCTTCCCTAAAATCTTTTGATAGGTCTCTCTTTAATAGGTCTGAATTCAAGCCGAGAGATTATTTGCCATTTTTGTATCGATTAAGACATGAAAATTAGATGTTGTTGGAAAAATGCAAATGACGATCAGCTGATCTAAGCTATGGTGCCGTTACAGCTTGGGTGGCAGCATGGAGCGTACCGTACCGCGCACGCACGCCATGGCCATGTCACCAGCGGTCCCGATTTGACATTGCCCTGGACTATTTTGTGCCCCTGCAGGAACTATGCCTTTGGATGGATTCTTGGAGTGGTTTATTGAACACTCAAAAGGCACGTTTGTGCCTTAAGGAAATGCGGGTTGTTACGCTTCCAAATCGCCCTCTGTCTCCAACCTACTCTACAAGAGCCTATCGCCTACGACTGGCTCTGAATGCAAGTTTCTTAGGAAACTTCTTGTCTGCGATATTACCCTGGATGGAAGCGGACTTTAAGCTGCCATTCTGCAGAATATGGTTTATGGCATTTTTACTGTCATCGTTACACTGCTATATCTTCTTAGATTGTAGTTTCGTATTCATATTATATGTACCTTGTTTGGTTGTCTCGTGATAATACTTGATTACACTTCCGTTGTTAAACTCACGACAGACGTAATCAACACAATCATCTCTCCATACATCATTCTTGGCATAGCATTGCGTACCGTACGAACAGCCTATAATAGGGATATTCGGGTATTTTCAAAATAGTTGCAACATATCAATATTAAATGATTTTTGTACGAAAAATTTGCCGTAAAAGAGTAATAATAAGAGAAAGTTGATAGAAATTCCCGCCTCGCTGCGCGCCGTCAAATGCGAATGCAGCTGTGCTGACACTTTACTAGCTCTTAAATCATGAATCACAGACCACTTGCTTATTCGCTTTCTATCCATTGTCCATGTTTACAAACACCATACACCTCGCAGTGCTTCGTTTGATTAGAGCTAATCCCATTTAACACCGCTGTAAAGAAAGCAAATTTCTGTTCCAAATTATAAGTGGTCAATAGTCCGATTAACAACCAATAGCTAACTGCGTAACAATATCATTACGCTTTAAACAGAGTTCCATATTGGACCAATTAACCAGTGCATAGCAGAATATTGCAGAAAAACAAATTGCGTGACAAACAAGGCTATCAACACGAATACAATGTAAACAATACTGTATGGAGACGAACAATACTTTCGCCGTTTTAATACCTTAAATCACTGTCCCAAGTTTTAGGGAAGACCCCAGATTAAACGAAGGGCTATCATGTTGATGTACTTGGGATATATTTGATTGAACGGGAAGAACAGACACACTCCCTCAAAAGCTCAAGTATCAGAAGCCAATCCGGCAACGGCCATGGAGGGATTTCGCGGGCCATTGCTTCAGGAATATGACAAACATGGACCCATTTTGTTGAGTGTCTACCCACTTTACAATCAAAGTGGGAGAGATTAGTAGGAGATTGTTCAGTTAATTAAAATTTAATGAAAGGTAATACATGTATAATTAAATATATACTTTTCAAAAAAGAGTAGGGGATATTGAAATGCAAATACCTATGCAAGTTGTGATATGATAAATAGTCATGGACACTTAGACATGCTTTGAGAGTATGTTCACAGATGAAGAATGTATCGCCCCAACAGAACCACTGAGCTGCATATGCGACACACAATAGAGCCATACACGTGGGAGAGGTTCATTGGCAAATTTGACACTTCAAGGAAGGGTTGATGAAAACTGCCGCGTGCTGGTTTATCTATCCATGTTAGCATTCCTATCGGTTCTTGCATAAGATTTACTGTTTAGCGTATCTTTGCTTTAGTGTGTTAGTGTGTTCGTCGACGTCAACGTCAACCAGAATTGGCCGTGGCACTGCAAGTGGAGTGGGTCAGATTACCCCAAATCGTGATTGGACGGTTGATTAGGAGCATGCCACGACGAATTGCTGAATGTCTGAGGATTGGTGGAGCAATTACTCATTATTAAGACAAAAATCAAACACGTCCATTTTCACTTTTAACGGTGGATTTCTTTGCGAGTTTATGTTCACGTGTAGGCAATTGGCCTGTTATTAACATACACTGGTTACCTCTAATAAAAACAGCAGTGCATTTCTGCAGTTTTGTATTGTTTCTGAATATCCCCTACTTTTTTTGAAGAGTATATTTGAGTGCAAATTGATAGACTGGGATCACAAAGATTTAATTTTATTATTTTAATATAAATGTACCAACCTCCGGATAGAACAGCCATCTCATTCTTCAGCATTGAAGCATGTCGTTGACATTGTAATGTAAGACATGCTGCATCTGTAACATTATCACCTTCGGGTACACAACCACCAGTAGCGTTAGGATACGTACATCCTATAACAGACAAATGGAAAACATTACATTACAACTTGACTATTTATTGTAGTACCTCAAGCCTGAACGTGACAAGGAGTAGGGTCGTCTGCACAACCTTGTAGGGTTTCTCCAGTTCCCCCTCTCTCTTAAAGTCAATCCTGATACCTTACGTACGTTTTTCGGTTCAAAATCTCTCCCTCTCCCCCCCCTCCCTCGCTCTCTCTCTTGAGTATACCCCCTCAAAATATAATTCCATCATTTCTTTCTAATTAATTCATAAAACTGTATCTACTAAGAGATCTTACCTCCTGCTGTAACAAGGAACTTGAGTGTGTTGTCTACAAGATCTTCCTTACAGGTAACGGTGTAACATCCTATATTAACTTCCGTAGATATTGGTCGACAATTACCTGCGGTATCTTTACAACCTTTACAAGTTTTAAAACACAAAAGTATTGATTAACTCGAGCCGACAGGTTAGGAATGATCTCATAACAAGTTCGATAGTATATTGACAAGAAACCGTGCGTTGCGTAATCATTGCCATCTTAGAATTGTGACGTCATAAAGTCCGTCAATTTATGCGCAATTGCCCAAGGAACAAGCATGCCAAGTTTCGAGTCCATCGTCGCTCAGTTCCTGATCCAAAAATGCTCCATTTACACGACATAATTTAAAGGGAAACCACAGGCTTTTATTTCTTAAAACTCACTAGTGTTTTATTCAATTGGCCGTTTTCAGACAAAGCTTGGACACGAAGCGCATACTTATTACCTTGGTGCTGATATTCGCGGTAATGATCTATATACGTCAATCTGCCGAAGCCTTATATTAGGATTTTTGAATAACTTCAAACTAATTAAGCCAACTTACCGGAAGGCACGTCCTCTAATTCCCAATAATTTCTGAACATTTCTTTAGCGTCATTGTATTTTTGTCTGCAATATCTGTCAATGCATTGTTCTCCTTGGGTAATTCCAACAGAAGTATTTGTTGCCAAACAACCTCCACTGTAGGCACAAGCTGATTTGTAAAAAAGAACAGGTGTTTGTTTATTTCAAATATAACCAAACTCACACTAGTCTCCTGAAAGACTGACCTTATATTTAATATTGAAGTAAAAATAAGTTATGTAGTTCATGAACCTTATTCACAATAATTTAAATTGAAATAGTTAAAGAATACAGTCCTTTCATTGTTCAAGGACAGCGGTAATAATGACAATCGAGGCTACAGTGATTTTAAGATAAGGTTTTTCGGCTTAGACTGAAGCAATTTGATTGGAATTTCAGGGCCGGCGGAAGCAATTCTTGGTTTGGGCGGGGGGGACTACCGTCCTACTAGGACTTTAGGCGAGGGCCCTGGGGCCGCCTAGGCCCCGGAAGCTCCAGGGAATCTAGATCGTCGGAGACGCTTTCTAAGCGATATCTGGCTAGTACAATTACTCAGTATTGAAGTTTTTGTTTTTTTAATCCCTCACCATAAAAAGCAATGCAGACGGTTATTTCCTGTTATGCTGAACTGGACAAATATATGCATAATAACACCAAGGTTGTGGATACTCTAGAGGTCACAATTTTCATCCGATTTTGATGAAACTCACAATGTATGTTTATAACCCAAAGATCTCGGTTCATGTCGATATTGGCGCATATCGGACAGTAACTTCTTGGATTATGGTCTCCGATTGTACGAAAAATTACACTTTTAGCTTGTGGGCCCTCTAGAGGCCAAAAAATTTTGATTGTAAAAACCGTTCAAATGGCCGCTCCCCTTTACGCAAATAGTGTAAAAGCATATAATACCCAGGGCGACCTTCAGATGTAAACTGTGGTCGCGACTACAGTCTGAACCAGCACCCGAACGCAAATAGGCCAGACCATTGGCTATTCAATATGGCGGCGCACATGTCACTTGTTTCACTTGCTATATTTTCTGCTATTTACTCATTTTTAAAACTATATTTTTGACGATGGGGATGAAGAAATGCTTTTAAAACATTTTCTTACAAAGCTGACCCCACCCGGGTTAACTGGTAACATGGATCATTTTACAAAGTTTTTTGTCGTGGGCCTATATATTCTCTAACTTCCGGGTGTTACCATGAACCCTGAAAACGGTCCATGGCGTACATAACGCATTGGCAATTGGCAATTTTAAGATATTTTTCAGACAAATCTACACACGTGTCAGTCTTTTCAGTCATATTTGAACTATCTCGACCGTGCCCTATCAGAGATTGAACTAAATGTCATTCGCAATGACTAGAGTACGGAAATTCGTGCAACCGAAGGACGCCCTTTCGTGGACCATCTAGAGGTCACAATTTACTTCCGATTTGCGCTTATCTGGATTTGCGTAACTTTCTGGATTATGGACCCTGATTGTACGAAAACTCACGTCTTTAGCATGTGGGTCCTCTAGAGATAGCAATTTTTATCTTATTTTCAAAATCGTTCAAATATATCACCGTTATGCCATGGTTGAGTCCGAACTTCCTGAAAATTGGACCGAAACTTCCCGTCAAATGGCCGCTCCTCTTTACGCAAATAGTGTAAAAATATAATACCAAGGTTGTAACAATTTTTATCATCCAATTTCGATGAAACTTAAAACGAGTGTTTAAGTATCACTAGTTCTTGGGTGAGTTCAAGTTTGGTGCGCATCTGACCTTCCGTTCTGGAGTTATGCCAAATGCCTTTTACGCAAAATGTGAAATATGAATGAAGTTTGTGGACCTCCCAGAGGCGACAATTTTTGTCCAATTCATGAGATGAAAATTAAACTATGTGTTGAGGATCAAAAGTTCTTGGATGAGTTTCACTTTGGTACGCATGAAATCTTCCATTCTAGATTTTTAGCTCCTGCTATAGAATGGTATGAAAACTCTACCCCGTCGTGTTTTAATTAGCCAATTATGTCATAGATACAACGGAAATGAGATGGAATGAAATATTCGACTGCTCAGTAAAGTTAACTAATCGCGACCCTCGCAACTGGGAACTCTTAACCCAGGGATATTGTGACTAGTGACTAGTAGGATATTTTCTTCTGAAAGTCTACGTTCTACCTCTAGAAGCCTCATTTCTATATTAAAATCGGGTCTCTTCCAGTTACATCACTGTATCTAACTGAATAGTTACTTGCGTGCAATAACCTGGAGAAAAGAGTACTTGCGGCCAAATTATCCCACAATACTCACTTATTCTAACACCTCCCGTCGTTTTGGTTGCCAACGAGACTTTATTTGATCATTATACACCTTCCAATGTAATTAAATTGGTCATTTTACAGTGTTATTAATTACAAATGAAACCTGAAACGCTATCACTTGGCCATTATCAACTTCGTCGGACCGGAAGAAACATGAGGTCAAAGGAATTCCGTTTTGTTTTTGTTAGTAACCATGGGCATCACCCAGTCCCTTCATTAACCTATCCGTTATGCGAAATTCGCCTTGGGACTGGGTGATCCGGACAGTACCAAAAGACAACCACGCGTTGGCTTTTGAAGTTATAAAAACGGGCCACAATATTGTTGTAATGAGACGTCATCTTGTTGTTGTCTGTCTATTTGTGCTTACAAAAACAAGAAGGTATAAAGCAGAGTGACTACTCTAGATGGCACTAGACATCGTATTTTACACTGATTTTGAATATTTTAAATTTATTAGTCGGTTTCTGAAAAATTGATGAAACAAATAATGTTCAATGCCCGAAAGATCTAGATATCGGCCAAAACCTGAGACGTCCGGTTTCTGGCATATGCATTTCAAATAAAAGAGTGGACTGGCAGTCTATGCTATAATATGGGATCAGTATTCAGAAATGAAAAAGGTGGTCTTAATGTTTTACGAAATAATATGAGTTGGAATCTGATAAGGGCAAGGGTGGGGAGGACGAGGGGACTTTATTTCAGGCACTTCTATCCCCGTAAATATTATATTAATTTTTACCTGTCTGCATGAGAAATCAATTAAATTTTCCTAAGTATGTTACATACCAATGAGAGTATTCACCTGTCATTCTGAGATTCTTAATTCGCGGACAGCTATGAAAGTAAATTTTAGTTCTAGTAACAATTCGTTCAATCAAATATAAGAGCTTCCCCAGCGCTACGTCATTGACCTCATTTTGTGTTACTTCCGGTCCGACGAAGTTGATAATCGCCAAATTGTAATGATAGCTCTTTAGGTTTGATGTATAATTAATAACGCTGTACATGACCAATTTAATTACATCGAAAGCTGTATAATGATCAAATAAAGTCTCGTTGGCAATAAAAGCGACGGGAAGTGTTAGAACTAGTGAGTATTGTGAACTGATAGCAGACGAAATTTCTTCAACGAGTGAAACCAATATGGTGGGTGGTACACTTTGTTGTTATTGTAGTATATAGTCTAGTCCAGCTCTGAACGTAGGTCTCTTTACAGTCGACACTACGTCCAGGGAAGCTAGCATTGAATCAATGTCGAAGTAATGGACCGCCCCAGTCAATTTTACTGGGCAACTTTTTACCGCTAAACGGTCGCGTGGCAGTCCCTGTGAATACCTGAACAATGTAAAGGAACATCTTAGTGAGAAAATAAGACCTCGCTTACGTCGCTAGATCCAGTATGAGCGAGGTCTTATTTTCTCACTTAGATGTTCCTTTACATTGTTCAGGTATTCACAGGGACTGCCACGCGACCGTTTAGCGGTAAAAAGTTGCCCAGTAAAATTGACTGGGGCGGTCCATTACTTCGACATTGATTCAATGCTAGCTTCCCTGGACGTAGTGTCGACTGTAAAGAGACCTACGTTCAGAGCTGGACTATATATAGTCAAGCAGTAGTAAGAAATTTTATTTTAATCCATTCAAGTGCCTGTGACACATTGTGCTGGATAATGAGAAGACACTCATTGTTGAAAGGTTGCTCCTTTTATATCTGTAATACATACAAGTTTGTCTTTTATTCAGTGTATATTTACTTTATTTGAACATCATGATGATACTCGTTTATTTGGCAAGCTAGTATTACCAACCCAATTGTCCTCTTTTTCCACCCTGATACCTGTGTGTTTACAAATAGGTTCTATTATTATAGTTCTAGGTAAAATAACTTACCTCCAGTTTCTAATACCAGTATATTCATATTGACAATTTCTTGGAACATACATTTATATGATACACATCCATCTTTAGTGGTAAATGTTGAACCGAGAGCTACATATTCACCAGTTTCATATACGCAACCTAATATTAAAATAGTTGGCAATAAAGTCATAGAGTAGTATAATTACAATGTATATTCCGAACCAAGCATTGAAATAGTGATATATCGGTATAAGTATATCCGTAAGCTAGCTGGAATATAGAGATAGGTTGCAATAATTATATTCGTAGCCAAGCATTAATGTTGTGATATATTGATATAATTATATTCACAGCTAGCATTAAAATAGTAATTGGTTGGTATAATTATATTCACAGCCAAGCATTAATATAGTGATATATTGGTATCATTATATTCGCAGTAAATATTGGTATAATTATATCCCTCTAGCATTAAAATAGTAATTGATTGGTATTATTATAACAATAGACTGGTATAATTATATTTACAGCAAATTAATAATATAGTTATATATTGGTATAATTATATTCGCAACCTAACATTAAGATAGTAAAGATTACTATAATCATTTTCACACCTAGCATTAAAATAGTAAATACTGGTATAATTATATCCCTCCAGCATTAAAATAGTGATAGGTTGGTATAATTATAATTTATAGAATGTATTTATATTCGTCATCTAGCATAAATATATTGACATATTGGTATTTCGCAAATAGCATAAACATCGCGATAGATTGGTATAATTATATTCACAAACTAGCATTAAAGATACATTATGTAAGATTTAGATAAAGAACTAGCCATTCTTGCTATAATAGTTCGAAAGTAGATGATGTAAAATGAATAATTTGAAAATTTCATTCAAATTACTCTATTGCAAGGAAGATATTAGCCTTTGAAGGTTTGACAGACGTGTGCAATAATTTCAACCACCGTACTGGTTGATCGAAGCTAAGTCTCGGTCCTGCATATTTGATTAAATCAAAGTATCGCTGAACCATTCTAATCTATTTAATATCGGAGAAATATGATGCCATCGAGAGTTGATTAAGGCCTGGATCAGTTAATTAATGTCTAATTAATACTTTAGAAAACATTTCAGGCCTAAAGAAAGACCTGCAATAGGCAGATTTAGCTCTTGCATAATGCATGTTTAATATAGTGATAGATTGGAATAATTGTATTCGTATATAACATTAAAATAGTGACAGATTGGTGTAATTGTAGTGGTAGATTGGTTTAATTAGGTTCGCATTAAAATAGGGATAGATTAGTACGATTTTATTCGTAACCTAGCATTATAGATTGATATGACTATCGATATATACTTACCGCAATCAAGAGGTTTATAATGACACAGGTTAATCATTGTGTTATTGTCAGCGGTTGATATTCTAGGTAGACTTCCGTTTAACTCTCGTTCAAAACCTTCATCGGCATCCGCAAAACTGAAAAACTCTTTCTCATACCGCATAGCTGAAAACAAGAATATAAATTATTCAAGATGGGGGAGGTGGGGGGATATAAGATACTAAAAACAAACAACAAAACAATAATGTGTTAAGTTTTAACATAAATGAGTTCAAGTCTAATGAAAGTGCACTATCTGAAGCGAAGCCAAAACACGTGACTGTAAGCTTAGTTTATACAGTACAAACTCAAAGAAACAATACTAGGAATATAACAGGGGCCTGTTTCACGAAATTTTAACTAAGATAAAATCCAAATTTTAGTAATTTGATTGGATACTATTAGATTGATTTTAGTGCTTAGCGAATCAAAATTGAAGTATCTACTAAAATTTGGATTTTATCTTTAGTTAAGATATCGAGAAACAGGGCCCAGGGCCCTATTTCACGAAATTCTAACTAAAGATAAAATCCTTAGTAGATACTTCAATTTTGATTGGCTAAGCACTAAAATCAATCTAATATTATCCAATCAAATTACTAAAATTTGGATTTTATCTTAGTTAAAATTTCGTGAAACAGGCCCCAGATTGACATACCTCTAACTTTCTGACATTCCGTCTCATTCTCCGCCATAAATAGCACAAATGGTCTGTCAGCAGGCAAAATGAGTTCAGTTTCCAGGTCACCATCATAACGACAACAGAAGTGCAATAGCGTAGAGGTCTCCAAGAATTCACCGTCAGGTAAGGTACCGTTCACACTACCATTAACATACATTTCTTCTCCGTCAATTGTTATATTACCTTCAAAGTCGATCATTTTAACATATCCTTCAGAGAAATCTGAAAATAAGGTTTAAAAGTAGGTTTTACGTAATATCAGATCAAGCTTTGGTTAACCAGAATTCAGTTTAATATTTTTGATTAGATAAATAAAAGCTTTACCAGCTTGCTGGAGGTCGGGTGTTCGATCCCTGCATTGGCCGAGAAAGTTCACCCAGATTTTCCAGCGTGGTTCCCCCTTGTCAGTGATGCAGGACGGAGGCCTAACAAGGACAGCTGTCTAGTCATTCGGATGAGACCAAAAAACGAGGTCCCCGTGTACACATTGGCGTAAAAGATCCCATGACAATTGGAATTCGATATAAGAGTAGGCCGTAGTGCCGCTGTCCGGGCAAAATTTCCCTCATAGCACACTGTATGGCGTATTTCCGTCTTCATTAGCCCAGTTCGGAGCAAAACAGTAGGACGTTAAACCCCATTTCATTTCATTTCATTTTCGTATTTTACACTGATTTTGAATATTTTAAATTTATTAGTCGGTTTCTGAAAAATTAATGAAACAAATAATGTTCAATGCCCGAAAGATCTAGATATCGGCCAAAACCTGAGACGTCCGGTTTCTGGCATATGCATTTCAAATAAAAGAATGGACTGGCAGTCTATGCTATAATATGGGATCAGTATTCTGAAATGAAAAAGGTGTTCGTAATGTTTTACGAAATAATATGAGTTGGAATCTGATAAGGGCAGGGGTGGTGAGGACGTGGGGACTTTATTTCAGGCACTTCTATCCCCGTAAATATTATATTAATTTTTACCTGTCTGCATGAGAAATCAATTAAATTTTCCTAAGTATGTTACATACCAATGAGAGTATTCACCTATCATTTCATTTCATTAACCGACTTGTTAAATTTTATACCACTGCTGAATGCGCTGCTTGTAGTCAAAGTCTCTATGTGCAGAAAATCCACTGTGGACTGTCTTAACGCATGGGTACACATGTATGTTGTGACTTGTAAATACTATACTATACTAAACTACATGTATAAATATTTGTTATTGTGGACATACGCGGACATACGGTAATTTGTTTCTGGTAAAAGGCAAGATCTTGATCTGGCGGTTCTGGTAAAATCTCAACGTGAATACCATTTCTCACGTTATATGGAGCTGGGTTTTGTTTTTCGATATTAGTGCCAACACTCCTGCTGTGCAAGCATCTAATCTGTCAGCCTTAACGCGCATTTTGATAACTTCGGTGAATAATGAAAGAGATTGTTAAAAGGTCCACAAAAAACTTACTTTTGGGGCAAGAATCGTTGAATCTAAGGATACAGTATCTGCCCTTTTCCCAGTAGGTATGGTATATAGGCATAAAACCTTCTCTGAGATAATCTTCATGAGTACAAAATCGATGTTCCATGACAAATTCAGTATGGTTTCCATCCATTTCGAAGTCATTAACATCATTATAAAAATTGCCACCTTCACTATAATGGACTCTTTCGCCTTCGTCCCAGATCTCCTCCACATTACTAGGACAACCAGTTTGAGGTTTGAGTAGACCCCAGTTACCTCTTGGCCACAACATCACCTCTGCATAAATAAAAACGAGAAATAATTTTAAAAGTGATTCTCGACCCTTATAGTAAAATAACATTCATTCTTTTTGGTGGCGTTTATAGTATGGGGGCGGATTAGGTGTAAGCACGGCCGTCGCAGCGGCTTTGTGTCCATGCAAATATTTCCAGAAGAAGAGATTTGTGGGGAGTAAGGGTTGGGTAAACAGGGAAGCGGTAGAATTTCTTTTTACAGAGGGAACCACGGTGGTTCAGTGAGTAGGACGCTGGCTCGTTAACCTGGCGGTCCCGTGTTCGATCCATGCGTTGGCACAGAAAGTTCATCGGGACTTTCCGGCGTGGTTCCCCCTTGTCAGTGGTGTAAGACGAAGGACCTGGCAAGGGACAACGTATCGTCATAGTATGCCGTAGCGCCGCTGTCCTGGCAAAATTCCCTTCATTGCACACTGCATGGCGTATGTCCGTCTTCATTAGCCCATTCGGGGTAGAACATTAGGACTTAAAACCCCATTTCATTTCATTTCTTTCCATAGATCTTGTCAGAGTAAACATGCTTTATATACCAGTTGGGCTAATGTAGACATGCACCCACCAAGAAGTGAGCTATGACGGATATTTTGCTCTGTCAAGGATCTTAAACGAACTGTTAATGGTATTCACGGATACCCGGTCTTTAATCGCGTCCGTACGACTTTATGCTTTTTCCTTGCCAAACGGTGCTTCCTGCACCACTTACAAGTGGAAACTAGATTGGAAAATGGAACTTTATCGGCCCAAACCATGATCAACGCAGGGACCTTCTGATCAGTGGACGAGTAGGTGAGATATATGATATTACCAGGTAGATGTATTTGTATTTTAGTTTCTGTGGTTACGTCTGGCAAACATTGGAAGACATTGCAAGCATCGTTCCATACCGAATGTAGTTGTTGACAGCCTTGGGTTAAACCAGCATTACACCCTAAAATAATGGCACAAATTTAAACTAAAATTACATAAACCAAATCACTGATAGGCAATTCTGGGGAGATGCATTCAGGGAGAATAAAGATTAACAAAGTGTCAACATTAAATATCAAAACGAATCTTAAACAGATAACTGCCGAATTACTGCAACAAGCGGTCACTTAGATCGTACTGGTGACCTCCGAGATAATTCTTATGGGGAGTTAGGAGCCGTGGGGTCAAATTGGGATATTTCTGGCGGGTACCCAGCTTTTCACCCAAGGTATGTTTTAGTGAAATATTCATAAAATGATTTTTTTATGTAAGGCGTACTTTCGTATTTATATATGAAGGCAGTATTACATGACAAGGCTAGAGTAGGTTGTTCTAGAGCGCTCCACGACCCTACCCCTTGTGCTCGGTGCCCAGTTGTACCTTAATGGGTTTTCTTCGGATACCGTTTGGGGTAACTGATACATCAAAGTCTCTCTCTCTCTCTCTCTCTCGCTCTCTCTCCCTCTCTCAAATATATATAATCAATAAATAACTTACCAACAACAACTTTTACAAGTTCATAACAGGTACCAACTATTTGACATTCATATGTATTACAGTTCTCTTCAACTCTTTCACCAACCAAATAACATTGTGCTCCCATGTTACTCATACAACCTATAAATTACAATATGGAATCACACAATAGTCAGGTATTTTAGGACCATATCTGAAATGGATGGGGACGTTCCGCACAAAAGCGCCAAATTTTATCCAGTTGCTATGCTGTTCCTCCAAATATTATTATGTCGGCCATCTTGGATCTTCAAGATGTCCGCTATGCTAAAACCTATCTGTACCAATACGTCAGCATCTAATTCACCTTGGGTAGCAACCTGGGTGTCTAAAGCTACAATTTCCTCCAATGAAAATATAAAGTTCGACACCAAGATTGCGATCCTAAGTGGTTTAGAAGCTGCGATATTGGCAGATATAGGTTTTTACATAGCGGAAATCTTGAAGATCCGAGATGGTCTCCATAATACATTTCTTATCATATGAAACTGTCATACGCTGTCTTTGTACAATATATATCAGCTCCGCTTAAGCACGGATCTCTTAAGTAGACACTTCTCTGTGTGAAGCACGTGCGCGCTGTATCATAAGGTCTGTCACTGAGTCAACTGGCGTTGTTTCGATTCCCCGATTGTACATAACAAGGAGTAGGGTCGCCTGTCCAACCTCATGGGTTTTCTCCGGGTCCTCCTTAAGACCCCTACGCACAAGCGAATTATTGAAATAAAATTGAACCATGTGTTAGTCCCGAAATTACCTAGTTTATGTCGGGTGGTCGTTAAACCGCATTTCTCTCTCTCTCCCTTTCCCGTCTCACCCTTTTGAAGGCGATTTTGTTGGCTTTTTGGTGTAGAATCTAAGAAACTGGTTTGAATGTACATTTTGGGACAGGTTTTGGTCAATATATATGATTTTGAGGCGGGGGGGGGGGGGGGGATAACAGAGTTAAGAGATTGGTTACTTTGAAATGTATAGGGCGGGTAGGTGCATGCTTACTAGTATAGCTACATCAGTTAGTGTCTCTCAAGATTTCTGTGGTGATCCGTATACATGTACATATTGCCACATGTTGCTGTGATAGAAAGTGCTCAACCCAGCGAAAATTTGTTAACGATTTAACATTAGAGTCAATGGGGAAGTTAATGGTGTTCTGTGGCCAATTGTAAAGACAGTTTCGCCCACTGAGGTCATGGTGGCCATTTTGTTACTCAATCTGTAAGTTTAATAGATGAACATTAACACAAAATAAAGATAAAATTATGAGTTTCAGTGAAAACGGACAGAATGATAGTTCTGTATAATAAATAGTCAGTCAGAGGAGGGAACTGTGTAAGACTATATATGTATGGCTCTGGTGCCGCCTATTTTGAAAATAACAACAGGGTATATATAATTTAATATACATGTATTTTACAAAAAAATAGAACGATAAACCTAAAACTGTATTATAAACTAAGGTATATGACTTTATTTAGAAAGGTCTATAAACTTGTATATAGACATTTACCTACTAAAGGTATGCTACGTGGATCTGTCACTAACACGTGTTGTCATCCAGCTAGCAAACAAAATAGATTTATTCATTATTTCATCGATTATGTATTGTGTGTTTTATTTTCCTCGCCAATTTGAATAACTAATGGGCTTTAAATTGACTGAAATTGATACATGACGTAAAATTTCATAATATTAATTTATCAGATGAATAGCCATGTTTCATATTTGTCAAAACGTTATGCGACTTTTATGTTATTGTTATACATGGCCTGGCTAGATTTATTTTACAAGGCAAACTTAAGTACATTAAAATATTCAATATTCATGCTGTTCCTTAAAGTTTATTTGAGTTCACTTTTAATTTAAAAGCTTTAATATATTCAATATTCATGCTTTTCCTTAAAGTTTATTTGGTTTTACTTTAGATTTATGTGTATTTATATTTACTATAGAAAGCTCTGTATTCGCAATCTCCTATTTCCTTATAAACCTATAGCGGTAAATCTCTCATAAGATTATAACTCGCTCAATGGTCTCTATAGTAAGCATACCGATTTGGCATACGTTTGCTGCTGTATTTTGGTCACGCGTCGCCGTTTGGATGCGAATCCAACCAAAGGGACTGTTTATTTCGATATTATAAATAATTATTTTAACATTTAATACACAACTCCGACGCGTACATTCACTCATAATGAACAGTGCGTTGAGGGCCAATTCGGGTCACACGGCTAAGTATGTTTACATCACGTGGTTTGTCATATTCCTGAAGCAATGGCCCGAGAAATCCCTCTCTGGTCATTGCTGGATTGGCTTCTGATATTGAGCTTTTGAGGGGGTGTGTCTATTCTTCCCGTTCAATCAAATCTATCCCAAGTACAGCAACAGAATTGAAATGAAATGAAATGAATGAAATGAAATGGAGTTTAACGTCCTACTGTTCTGCTCCTATACTGGGCTAATGAAGACGGGCAAACGCCATACAGTGTCCTATGCGGGAAATTTTGCCCGGGCAGCGGCACTATCGCCTACTCTTATATCGAATTCCAACTGCCAAGGGATCTTTTACGTGCATTCCAATGTATACACGGGACCTCGGTTTTTCGTCTCATCCGAAGGACTAGACAGCTGTCCTTGTCAGGCCCTCCGTCCTGCATCACTGACAACGGGGAACCACACCGGAAAATCTGGTACAGCAACAGGACAGCCCTTGGTTTAATCTGGGGTCTTCTCTAAAACTTTGGACAGTGATTTAAGGTATTAAAAACGGTGAAGGTATTGTTCGTCTCCATATAGTATTGTGTTGATAGCCTCGTTTGTCATGCAATTAGTTTTTTTCTGCAATGTTCTGCTACGCATTGGTTAATTGGGCATAATAAAATCGTGAGTCATGGACTTAACGCTATGCTTGATCCAATTTGGTGTTCTGTTTAAAGCGTACTGATATTGTTACGCAGTTAGCTATTACTTGTTAATCAGACTATTGATCAGTCATAATTTGGAACAGAAATTTGCTTCCTTTACAGCAGTGTTAAGTGGGCTTAGCTCTAATCAAACGAAGCACTGCGAGGAGTATGGTGGTTTGTTTGACACCCGGCAAGTGAGAGATATTTCGTTTGCTTGAATGGTGTCTGCTCCTGCTGACAGTGTTTTTATTTATTTCATCGGGCTTATGGCACATATATATACATATATACATAAATATATATATATATATATATATATATATATATATATATATATTGAATTAAATGTATAAATTTCCAAAGTATGTAAACATCGGACACCCACGTATCGGAATATGAGATACATCTTCTATAGGTCTACAGTAATGCCGTATACAGATTCGAGCCAAGCAATTCTCAAGAAGAAATGGGTGAATAAAGGAAAGGTCGTTCACGTCGACATTATGTGCCAAAATGCATTATATTATATGTCTCACATGCCCATTATTTCGGTCTGTTTATGTTGAAAAACACTCTCTGCAGGCACAAAAACATCGAAGCAGACGAAATAGATGCCACTTCCAAGCTGTCAAACAAACCACGTAATGTAAACAATTAACCATGTGGCGTGAATTGGGTCACAGCGTACTGTTCAGTATGACTGAATTTATGCGACGGCTATGTGTACTAAACATTAAAAAAACCCCATAAATTCGTGTTTCTAATATCCTAATAAACAGCCCATTTGATCAGATTTTTGACCAAACGACGACGCGTGAACAAATACAGCAGTAAACTTATGCCAAATCTGTATGATTACAATATATAAAGATCCGCGAGCGTGTTGAACCAACTATAACGTCACTTCCGGTTTTAATAAAAAAAATAATTCCTCGCTTACCAAAACATTTTTGTGTTACAGAGGGGATTATTTATGAATATATATTTAAGATTTATGGAAACCTTGTTGAAAATCGTTGGTCTTCACCCTTAACACTCTACAGATAGCAATTATTGAATATGAACTAAAAAATTCAGAGGGTGACGCCCCTTGAATCCGAAAGATAGGGGGTGCTCGATGGTCAGTCCAGAACGTTCCGAACTGACGGAATTGCAATCGATTGACGCGGAACTGTACAGCTATGTAGCATTGGCGATTCAAAGACTGTTGACTTAATAGCTCTTCAATGGGTTTGGTACGTGTATCGGCAGAACAGGGGCGGGTTAAAAACTGATCCTTGAGACAAGCCACATCAGAAGACAGGTTCAGGTACCGATTTGACAATCACCGCAAGGAGACGGGTTCAGGTACCGATTCGACAATCACCACTGACGGTGGTTTTTCTGTCACCCAGAGTATATTAGCTATATGTTGCCATGGAACAATTTGTAAAGTTCTTCCGAATAAGGTATTCAGTGTTGAAAAAAGCTGGTTTGGCGTCGCTGAGTAATTCTTAATAGTCCTGTTATAGCAAAGATTTTTTAATCGCACATATTTTGACTTGACAGGTGGGTGCCCCTTCAGTTATTTGGAAAGTGTACTGTTAAACAGATTAAAAAGGGTTTCTAAATCATCTGGCTGACTAAAAGTGAGATCTGAATTTGCCAATATCTATCTCTTTTATATTTGTAAGCTGATAAAGCACACTTCAGTATCACTTAATATAAGTCAAAGTGATCAAGAAGTGTGAATAACATGTTGCTTGAGTGTTAAAGCCGAGGTAACAGACTAATCCGATACCACAAAACCAGTCAATCACAATGTTAGTCAGTTAAGCAGTCTAATGCAACCCCATTGCAAACCTCATGGTTATATCTGTGGTTTAAATGATAGGATATGTACTTTAATGACGATCGCCATTAATAATAATCATGGTGAGATGAGGTTGATCCGAAAACAAATATAATTTTATCAACAAATTGTATAACATTTATAAACAGGAAGTTAACAAATGTTCACCTGAATCTTCTTAGAGAATGTACATTTCCCTTTTTCAACCAAGGAGGTAATGGTGAACATATAAGACAACAATTTATTCCGATCCCATTGCCCAAGATTGCAGGTAATAAATAACATTCATTATTAATAATGTCCACGAAAAACTGACGCAGTGGATCTAATAATGGCTCATCTTACCTCCTTGAACTAATCTATATTTAGCTGTGTTTCCTTCCAAGACAACTGTATACTGAAAACAACCAATTTCCCAAGTTTCATTGACCATTTTACACTCTCCGTTAAACATGACTCCTGTAAATAAAGAAACTAGAGTTAATGACAAGAAATATGGCCATCGTTTTACATATTCCACCATGCGCATTCAGGAATATATTTTCAGTCTGAACCAGTAATATTTGGCCTTCGCCAAAGCAATCACACAAATGAATAGATGATCGCAAAGTTAAGTTATGTCAAAAACATTTTAGATTAAATAATATCAAAAATAATTTAGATTAAATTATATTAATAGTATTTTAGATTAACTAATATCAAAAATATTTTAGATTAAATTATATCAATACGGAAGCGTATAGGGCTCATGCAAAATTTTGTAGAAGAACTCGAGATCCTGCGATCCTGTGATACTTTCTCGAAATCTCAATGTTCTCGAAATCCCCTAATAATTTTCTCGAGAATCTCCCATCCTGTGTTAACGATCTCGAGAAATTAAGTTCATGTTCTCGGGATCCTGCCATCCTGTGTAAATGTTCTCGAGATCTCAGGTATTTTTATGTGTACGCGTAGTTTTAACGTATTTTCAGCGCCCCACAACCTGTCATTTCGGAGTCCCTCGGCCCCCCCCCCCCCGCCTCCACATACACACTTTCCTGAAAACCTTAATAGCGCCACCGAGCCTACATGTTTTAACGGATTTGTTTCAAATTTAGTGTAAAGCATTGGGGCCATGTGAGGACGGTCCCTGTCACTTCTAGCGCACCTTATCGTTCTGGAGTTATTCCCCTTATCGGAAAAATTTGTTAACTCAATAGAGGCTACAGTTTTTAACTGATTTTGTTTTTCAAATTTGGTGTGAAGCACTAGGACCTTTCGATTTTCAGTACTCCTCAAACTTCTGTTCGAGAGTTACCCTCTTTGTATTTCTTTAAAATATGTTACGATGATAGGACGAACCTTATCGATATTCAGCATTCTGTGACCTTCTGTTCCTTAATATACCCCCTCCCCGCCTGCTCCCTGAAAGCCTTGTTCACGCCATAGAGGCTTCACTTTGTTTTTCAAATGTGGTGTGAAGCACTAGGACCTTTCGATTTTCAGTACTCCTCAAACTTCCGTTCGAGAGTTACCCTCTTTGTATTTCTTTAAAATATGTTACGGTGAGAGGACGAACCTTATCGATATTCAGCATTCTGTGACCTTCTGTTCCTTAATATACCCCCCTCCCCGCCTGCTCCCTGAAAGTCTTGTTCACGCCATAGAGGCTTCACTTTTAAAATTTTGTGTGAAGCTTTGGGGTCATGAACTTTATTGATATTCAATGGTTAGCGATCTTCCGTTCCGAAGTTATACTCTCCATTCTTTGAAAACCTTGTTTTTAACGGATTTCCGAAATTCAGTGTTCCGCGACAAGGATGACCCCTGTTAATTTTCAGCAATATAAGGTTTTCTGTCCCAGAGATATAACAAGCACGTGAACACGATAGAGATTAGATTACTTGAAGAATGCTACATCCTTATTCAATTTATTAAACAACCAAGTTTTCCTTTCGAATAATCTGCTGTTGAGACATAGATGCTGCGTGGGAACCCTATTTATTTTCGGTGGAACAATGAACTTTATTGATTTGCAGCAATCCCTGGCGTTTTGTTATGGCGTTATTCCTATTTTCCGTTAAACCTTGTGAACGCGTTAGAACCCAGAGTTTTTAATTTTTTTTCGATTTAAAACCAGCTCCGAAGCATTTGTGCCACAAGACAATAAACTCTGTGTCTAGCTTTATTCTAAAACAAAATATGGTCTGAAAACCATGCAAAACATGACATTTTCTATTAAACGTAGCCCAAACATTAAATTGAAATAATTTAACAAGCATGTCTGTAATTCAAAGCTAACGTGGTAGGGTTTTTGAATTTCATATTTGGTGTGAAGTATTTGGGCCATAAGACGATGAACCCTATCGATTTTAATCATATTTCAAATTTAGTGTAAATCATGGGTACCCTATCGATTGTCCGTTTATTCTTTCATTAGTTAGCAGTTTTCCTTTGTAACAAATGTTAGAGTATTTTTTGTTATCAAATTTGGTGCGAAGTATTGGGCCAATGGTTGCATCACAACGTGGAGACACTATCATATAAGGTTTCATATTAACTCGGGATCTCGAGAAAATTTACCCAGGATGTCAATATCTCCAGAACATTAACTCGAATTCTCGAGAAAATTTACACAGGATGTCAATATCTCAGTAAAATTATCAGGGGATTTCGAGAAAATTAAATTGAGATCTCGAGAAAATTACCAGGTGATCACGGGATTTCGAGAAAGTATCACAGGATCGCAGGATCTAGAGACCTTCTACAAAATTTTGCATGACCCCTATACGCTTCCGTAATATCAAAACTATTTTAGATTAAATTATATCAAAAAATAATTTAGATTAAATTATATCAAAAATTAATTTAGATTAAATTATATCAAAAAATAATTTAGATTAAATTATATCAAAAAATAATTTAGATTAAATTATATCAATAGTATTTTAGATTAAATTATATCAAAAATATTTTAGATTAAATTATACCAAAACTATTTTAGATCAAATTATATCAAAAATATTTTAGATTAAATTATAGCTTATCAAACTTAATGAAAATTTAAGCGTTTTATTTGACCATAAAACGTTTTTCATATAAACGAGAATTCAACCGTTTCGGCATTATAAAAATTAAATAATTCCCATTTCTCCTTCTCTAATGGTCAAATGTATAAGCTGTCATGTCAGCATATGGTTCAATCATTTTCATAATTTAAACTTTTCTTATTATGATAAATCACGCGTTAAGTTACTACAACATATTCCATTGTAAACTTTGATATATTGACTACTTTCAGTATTCAAGAGTAATAATATACTTAATAAATCCATTATTATATCCATTATATATATTGACGTTTAATTTAATGTTGATTTGAACGTCGTCGTGTCTAAACAAATAAGTCTTATATATCAGCGTTTAGTCCGAAATTCACCACAATTCAAACTGATTGAGTAGGAGTTATCATTACTTATTTGTATTCTATGGAATACGATTCCTGTTTATTACTGAGCCACGTTTCAACTAGGCTTCCCCTAGACTTTATCAACATATATATACATGTTAAAATACATGTCCCTCAGAATATATACATGTTACAATACATGTATCTCAGAATATAAAATATATATACATGTTACAATTCTGAGGGACACAATAACTGTTTGTTACTGAGTGAAATTTTGACATCATATCTTGATAAAGTCTAGGAGAAACCTATAGTTGAAACGTAGCTCAGTAATAAACAGGAATCGTATACCACAGTATTGTTTCCTGTGTATGTCCAGTTCATTTACTATACATTGAAACCAAGTGTTAAATATAGCTGATTATATTTCTTTTCATCGATACATGGGTTAGGTTTACATGCAAGCGCCAATTTAGTTTTGTTTTGGTTTTTTAAAGTAATGCAGTGAAAATGTAGCAAGTCTTATTTTTAATAATTTATAATGTTTTAAATATGAGTGTACGAATAAACAAGAAACATTAGATTGTAACAGGAGTCGACTGGTCGTACGGAAATTGGAGCTAGCGCCGCCAGGTAAAATTATAGATAGCTGGGCTGGATACAAATAGTCAAATACTGCCGAAAAACAATTCACGAATCATGGGGCATTATATGGCAAACGAACATAATTAAAAACTGATATCTAAGCTTTTTAATGGGTAAAAGGTTGCCATGATTGGTAAGTCGTTCCTGAAAAATGCTATGTATCTTACCGATACTATCGAATTGGTAGTAGCCATTTTCTTGACATTTGTATGTTACACAGCTATCTCCTTTCTTGCTCCATGTTTCACCTGGATCATAGTAGGTACCATCCATGTAACATGAACATATCCATGGCTGACAATATTGGAACACATTAACATTGCTGTCATTTGCTGAAATTATATAATCACATACACTTACCATACGTCGTTCAATAACCTTAACTCGATGTAGAGAGATATATAGAGAGAAATGGCGTTTAACATCCACTCGACACAAACTAGGTCATTTCGGGACTAACACATGGTTCAATTTTATTTCATTAATTCGCTTGCGCGCAGGGGTCTTTAGTAGTGAGAGGAAACCGGAGGACCCGGAGAAAACCCACGAGGTTGGACAGGCGACCCTACCCCTTGTCATGTACAACCGGGGAATCGAAATCATTCGCCCCCCCCCCATCCCGATGCAAGCACATACATTATAAACAAGAGGTCCTGGCACGAGGCAAGCAAATGCACATAAATTGTGGTACAACGACCGATCCCTGTGGAACACCAAATTTCAAAGCAGTATTGATTTACACGAAGAAGCCCGTGCTTTTATTTATTCTAAAATAAACTGAAAAGGAGTCTGATCGTTATAATGTTTAGATAACCATGAAATTGCATTATGGATTTCAGATTAAATTATGTTATTATGTCACAATGGACTTGTAATGGGATTTGCATACATGATGGTATATGGATTTTAATTTTAATATTCCATGTTATACAATCACTTTAGAATTTAAAAAAAAAACAACCTCAAAATCTGTGACCACATTAGTTCTTCAATGCAAAGTATGTTTTAGAATAAAAATATAATAATTTATTTACAACAAAATTATTAGGTTGTTGTTGGTAAGTTATTTATTTGTTATTCGTTTCAGAGAGAGAGAGAGGATGATGGGTGGGATGGGGTAAGTATATACCCCTATTAGTGTCACGTACAAGTGTGGCATCGAAACTACTAAAGACAGATCTTATGATCTAAAGCGCACGGTGATAATCGAGTTGCAAAGTTCAAGGTTCATTCAATATCAAGGTTTCCGCGGAGTTCGCGATGTCACAACCTCTGATTGGACGCTACTGTCCACGTGTCTGTAGATAACATAGCTATAAGTTCGGGAATTGTGAAGAAACAGGCAACGGCCAGATGTTGTAAAACTCGCAGTCGTTGCTTCAGGAACATGAAAAACAGCGGACCACGATGTATGTAAACAGAGACATTGTTTTAATATAGAAATTTAGAGCGAGCGCGACCAAAATTTCTACCTTCTATAACAGAATAATTTAGATCTATAACACTGCATTTTCAGTTTGGAAATATCTGGTACCGATTGTCGGGTTGGTAATTTATATATCTAATATACTATTCAAAAAAAGTAGGGGATATTTGATTTTTAAGTGTTATTAAAGTCACCTAATGAAACTGACGAAGAAACAAATGACAAAATGAAATGAAGTTCACATTCATCGATTTATTCCAAATGATCGTTAGACTAAGTAAGGCACAGACTGACCATTATAAGGGTAAAATGATACCCGGGGTCAAACAGCAAAGTTACCACAGCATCACAACCAAGTCAGTAACGGGTAAATCCTCCTCTGTTTGCCAAACAAGCATTGATCCGACGTGGCATACTCCTAATGAGACGTCTAAGGTCATTTTGGTCCAGACTGTCCCATTCCTGTTGCAACGCAGCAGCAAGTTCTTGGACATTGGCAGGACGTTGTTGACGTTGACGTAACCTCTGTCCAAGCATGTCCCAGACATGCTCGATGGGGGAGAGGTCGGGACTCAGTGCTGGCCAAGGTAATGTGGTGATGTTCTGTTGTTGGAGGTAACCTGTAACGATCCTGGCCCTGTGACATCTTGCGTTGTCATCCTGGAAGATGAAACGGCGGCCATGACGTCGTGCGAACGGCACAACATGGACTGCCAAGATGTTGTCCCGGTAGTACTGGCCTGTAACACGCCCTGCAACAACATGTAAAGCCGTTCTTCCAGCAACAGTGATGCCTCCCCACACCATAACAGAACCACCCCCAAATCGATCATGTCTGATGACGTTAACGTCTTGGAAGCGCTCGTTTCCACGACGCCACACCCTCCTACGTCTGTCCAAAAAATCAACAGTGAACCTTGACTCATCTGAAAACATCACATTGCTCCAGCGTCGATTATCCCAGTGTTGACGATCCCTACACCAACGACGTCTTGCCTGAATGTGATGATCTCTCAAACAAGGGATCACGCGAGGACGTCGGGCGCGAAGGTGACCCCTATGCAGTCGATTCCGAATCGTCTGGCCACTCACTCTCACACCAGTGTCTGTTTGAAGACGAGCGCTGATCTGATTTGCTGTGATGACACGATTTCTCAAGGCCAAGGTACGGATAAATCGATCCTGGGCTTGAGTTGTCGCCCTTGGTAGACCTGAGCGTGGTCTGTCCTGTACACATTGTGTATCACGGTATCTGGACCATAGCCTGCTTATGACAGACTGAGAAACATTCATCGTCCGCGCCACAACCGCCTGTGTTGTGCCGATCTGTAGCATGCCAAGGGCACGTAACCTTTCATTTTGGGTAAGCCGACGCATATCAAAATTTGTTTTCTGGTCACTAAAACAATTAAACTGATGTTTCCACCCTGGAATTCAATGCCACAATGACTGTAACATTCAAAGTCAGAGTCGTGCAAATCTTGGGTTGGACCCCCATGATGATCCCAAGCATCACCTGCATTCCATGCGGTAGCTATTGGTGCGTTTGGGCGTCACATGTAACTGGAAATGTTTCTTCTGTTAGGTTCTATAGTGACTTTTTTCGTAGTCATTTGCATATTTTAGTATTATGCCCCCAAAATCAAATATCCCCTACTTTTTTTGAATAGTATATTTATTATTAGATTTTTGATGTCATGCCGATATTAAACTTTTATACAATTATAACTGATTTCCAAAATAAAACCTTTTGTTAGCGTATACTTCACCAGCTGTTTATACACTTATATATTGATATATATTTAAACAAATATATTTCAGTCGTCTTTTTGATAAATCTTTTTCGCTATTTGTTTTTTGAGAAACTGAGAAATAATATTTCTTTGTATTGATTGCTTTAAAATGAATTGCTAATAATGTGTCGTCCGCGTTTAAAATTATAAGTAATATTATTCCTGCCAGATTCAAGATGTTTTCTCTAAGTTTCGATATTAATTGGATTAGAATATATGTGTTTATTATTGTAGCAATGGCAATCGAGACTACACTATTTTTGTCAAAACCTCAAATATTCAGATCTGCGCTCAAAATAAAATTTTCAAAATATTCATTATATTCTATTTTTAAACTATTATAGCAAGAACGATCAGCCCTTTAATATAAATCTTACATAATGCATCTTTAATTCAGTTATTGTTCTAATAAATAATTGTTGAGTTCTTGTTTTTAAAACTGTTAGGAACTATTAAAATTCTTTTGTTTTTACTAAGTTTCGCATAATGATATTGTTCAAATCAATAAATGTAATCATTAAAGTATCAATGTCACGTTTGAGCGCTACAGGAATCACTTGCAAACTACGATATTGTTAAAGGTGGATCTCTAATAGAAATATCAGTCCAAAAGTGTACTTACAAAGTTAGTATTTACAAAGATATGCGGAATGGAAAGTTCATCAATCTATGCTGTTCGTTATGTGATAAGCCCGCCGCCATTTTGTTGTCTGCGAAAATTTATTGGTAGGCCTGTTTTAAATCCGATTGAATCAAAGCCGGGACATTATCTAGTGTTGGTATTTTGATTAAAATGGTAAACAATCAAACTGAGTACAGATTAGCGTGAATCAAGCCGTGTTGTATTACACATTACAGTAACCCTGACCTTAAACCTAACCCTTGTTTGCTGTAACTGTTAGGGAACGTCGGGAGGAAGGGAGGGGGGGTCAAAAAGTATAACGCGTCTGTCAAGTCAAGAGGCGTGGTTTCGATCCCAAGCTTGTACATGACAAAGACTACAATCGCCTGCCCAACCTCTTGGGTTTTTGTCCAGGCCCTCCGGTTTCCCCCCTTTGCCAAAGACTCCTACACGCAAGAGAATTACTGATATTTTAGCCCAGAAACGACCCGGTTTGTGTCAAGTGGACTTGACCCCCATTTCTCCGAAGTAAAATTATGCAAGAGCTAAATCTGCCTATTGCAGGTCTTTCTTTAGGCCTTAAGTATTATATAAGCTATTAATTAGACATTTTGTAACATAACATGAACATAATCTACTCTCGATGCCATATGATGGGTACGATTTTATACAGATTTGAATCATATCTGCGATTCAACGACTGTTCATGATTACCGTAAAAACGGATAATCAATAACAATAATAATCGAGGCTATAGTATTTTAGAAATTCGTTTTTTTTTCGCCTCAGACAGAGTGAAGTAATTTGACTGAAATTTTCAGCATATCCTCTTTACGTTATCTATTTTTTAACTATTATAGCGATAACTGCCAGTTCTTTATTGAATCTCTCATAATGCCAGATTTAGATAAAGAACTAGCCATTCTTGCTATAATAGTTCGAAAGTAGATGATGTAAAATGAATAATTTGAAAATTTCATTCAAATTACTCTATTGCAAGCGAAGATATTAGCCTTTGAAGGTTTGACAGACGTGTGCAATAATTTCAACCACCGCACTGGTTGATCGAAGCTAAGTCTCGGTCCTCCATATTTGATTAAATCAAAGTATCGCTGAACCATTCTAATCTATTTAATATCGGAGAAATCTGATGCCATCGAGAGTTGATTAAGGCCTGGATCAGTTAATAAATGTCTAATTAATACTTTAGAAAACATTTCAGGCCTAGAGAAAGACCTGCAATAGGCAGATTTACCTCTTGCATATGTTTAAGTAAAATGATGCATAATATGATGGACTAACATGGAAAGCGAACGCTACCAGCCTACAACGTTCAGTTTTTCAAAGTACTCAAATTGAAATCTACTAGAAACACTAAATGATTATAAATGAAATCTTACCTGCTAAAGTGGAAGAGATACAGAGGGCATGGAGAACGAGAAATATTAGTCCCTCCCGGAGCCCGGGTCGGGAAGACGTCATGGGTTACGTCTTTAGGTCTGCACCCTAGTGCTAGTGTTTCTCTGAAAAGAAAAAAAAAGGTATGGTCACTTGTTATTTTAAATATACAACATTATAAAAAGGCTACTGATATTCTAAAGTGTTAAAACCTGTTGACTCATATAAGTCAATATTAAGGACTTTAAAGGTTTTAAAAAAAGGTTCTGTAAACTCTTTATATTCCTGTCATGGATCAGTGATTTCTGCTTGATGTCTATTATTGAACGAGATTTTATACTAAAGGGAGGATGTGTATGTATAACATCTTAAAGACGAAGAGGGTATCTCAAACTTCATTCTTTGATGATCTGGAAGCTGTAGTGGGGTTGCAATACAGAGGACTTGCGATAGGATAAGTTGACCAAGCAATAACAATTATGGTAATCTGATTGTTGAGATGAATGCTTGGCGTAGGATCCGTCAAATTTGTTTATGGCAGATACTCTTAGAATTTGAACTTTACAGCAACGATCCAATTTTACAGACTAAATTAAAACTTAAATTGTCAGTGGCGTCGCCCATCGAAGACAAAGTTTTCTGCCAAAATTCCATATTTCGTATTGTGGAATATAGAGCTGGCGTTCAGTAACTACCGCGATTAATAACGAAAATCTAGTGTATGCACAGAACCATGTGCCACAGTGCCGTGTTTTATTGTTGGTGGTATTTTTAAATCCTTATTTAAGCGAAAAATGATCAACGCAATCCCACTTCGGTATTAAGCATTTCAAAGCTTGTACGATCGGTTAGGCGTGTTGAATAATGTCGACTATTATAACTACATGTATAAAGTCGAGCAGTAGGTTAATAGCTGTTAAGTGGTATAATATTACCATTCGTTTACATTAAACACTATTCATATAAATTATAGAGAAAAACCGGGTACAGAACCTTGTGCAATCCATAACGATTTTCAGCAGACATTGAGTAATACTAAAAGAGGAAAGTATACGTTTGTTCGGGCATTTGCAACAGAGAGCAACTTATTTTTTACCCATGAGCTTGGTTAGAAGTGATATAGAAACCACAACAGAATTTTAATCGGAATACTTTGAAAATACGAATGGAAGGATATCCGATGTCCTGTGTACCCGTTGGCTTGCAAATAAAATACCCCCTGGGAATAGCTACGCTGTGCTGGCAAAAATTGCACGCATAGTTCACTGCATGTAGTGAATGGTATTCACCATCTACATTAGCCCAGATGGTGCAGGAAAAGAGGACTTTAATACACATTGCATTTCATTCCGATACTGAACTCACAGGGGTTCATCAGTGCTGTTGGACTGGGTACCAGATGGCCTTCCATTGGACCAATTCTGCCTCAACGTCCAAAAGGGCCGATTAATTGTAAATAAACCAATGTACATAATTTTTACTGGTTTTCATGGGTTAAGAAACAAATTATTCATGACGTATAATTCTATCATCCCGGGTTTGATAATTATGACGTTTGTGACTGCTAGAGGTGGATTTTCTTGCGTCGGTAAATCTTCAGACTATATATAATCATGACAGAATCTACACTTGAGCTACATTATGACTTTCCAACACTTCCCATCTCGTCACTCTTTTAGTGCTGGTACTAAAAGACATGCAGTAATGGGAAAGGTAAACATGGGAATATCTAGGTTCGATGATGATGGCGGCGATGGTGGTTGTGGTGGTTGTGGTGGAATGTGGGAACACTGGAACACCTCATTTTTCAAGCCTTCAACCTAAACGATTTTCGTAATTGCTTCACACGCCTGATGAACACAAACGAAGTACGTGTAGACAGTCCTTCAGAACTTTGACAGAGACAAAGGAAGTTATATGTTGCCCTAACTCTTCAGGGCGTTGCATAAAAACAGTATCGTACCGTGCTATTCCATTGGCCTAGGGTTTCTTCTGATACCTCCTGAACAGCCAGAATAAGTACTGTGCGCAAAAGTAAACTTTATACGCCTACGAAAGCCTTCCAGTCTGAGCATGTTCATGGCAATAACGAAAATGATTTTTTGAAAATTTACCACAAATTCACTCCAAATTACAAGACATCTTGTAAACGCATAGCAAATATACTTTTGCGAACGTATATAAATTTGTGTCCGTAATGTGTGCAATTTTTCATATGCAAACAATAGCCGCATGATGTATAAACTGGGCTTTAGATTTTTATATCTTTTCTGTTATTTCATATGGGCTACAGTATTTTGGTTTAACTTTTGTTTAAAAGGGAACTTTATTTTAAGAAATTATTTACCTTTGGTGTGATAACTTAGTCTTAAACAATGTTAATGGATTTATTGTTTAACCTTATATGGTTATGTCATACTGGTTTCATTCAAACAAAATGTTGACCATTTTCCAATTTGCAAGACCCCTAGACGTAGACTAGAATTAGGAGAGCGACTCACGTGATTGCGATATAAACATAAAAATATGCATTTGTTTTTCAAATCTATATCGACATACTGAACTAATAGCTTAAAATAATTGACTGACTTTTAGTGTAATTCTGGTATAAAGTATAAGACATAGAGCCTCTGTTATTCATTTCAGGGAAAAATCTCTTGACTAAAAGTATAAGCACAACTTGTGAATTGGAAAGGAGGGGGGGAGGGGTCGAATGGCCTAGCGTGTGCTTATATATAAGATCTGTCATTGAGTCAAGTGGAGTATTTTCGATCTCATACTTACACGTGATGAGGGGTGGGTTTTATCCGGGTACTCCGGTTTCCCCCAACTGCCAAAAAACACAAAAAAAACCCTACGCGTGGAAGTGAATGACTGAAATAAAATTGTACCATATGTTATTCCCGCAATGACCTAGTTTGTGTTGAGTGGACGTTTAACTCTCTTTCTCTCTCTTTTTGGGTGGTTGAATGGTCGAATGGTTACCATGTGCGCGTTGTATCATAAGGTCTATCAATGAGTCAACTGGTGGGGTTTCGATTCCCCAGTTGTACGTGACAAGGAATAGGGTCGCCTGTCCTAACTCGTGGGTTTTCTCCTACGCGCAAGCGAATTATTAGAATAGAATTGAACCATACGTTAGTCCCGAAATCTCCTAGTTTGTGTCGAGTGGATGTTACCCCCCCCCCCCTCTCTCTCTCTCTCTCTCGCTCTCTCTCTCTTTCTCTCTATCAATTGGGAAATAAGAATTAATGAACCCCGAGGGACATTAATCGGATGCACGTGGAATAAGTGTCTAATACTTCAAATACAAAATGCAAGTCATATGCCACTGTCCCGTTACTCAATATAGGAAAAACAGCGGCACAAATTTCAGGTTGACAATTCAATGACTTGCAATACCCGTGTTTTGTCTCGTCATCCGGGTGTTTCTAATTAATTACTTTCTAAACTTACTTTATATGGCGCTGCTGTTTATATTTATATTAATAAAGACGTAAATTTCGTGTTACGAATCACAGTGTATTTATATATATTTCCATGACCTACCGTGGTAAATGTACAAATACACAGACCTATCTATACACGAAATATCTTTCAAAAAATTACAAAATATATACCTATTTATATCTTTTTGGGATACGACTTTTTCCCGGTTAAGCCAAAAATCGTTACATACAATAGTTTATATTGGTGATCAGAATTTCTAAATGAAATAACTGATTATCAATAGACTCGAGGCAGGGGTTAATGTGACTTTAGGATGTAATAATTTGCGGATCAGTGGATTCTAAAACATTGAACTAACCTTTGATTTATCTGTGTGATTAAATATCCGTTTAGGTTAGAGAAAACACATAGACGTATTGTAAATAATGGCCCTTGATGTCGATCTCATAAACTTACCACTCTCTCAAGCAAGTAACAGCTTGGAGTCGAGTCGATGACGATATTGATTCCAAACTAATATAAACTGCTTCTGACTTTTCATATAAGATTTCAAAAATAAGAAATTAAAAATTTGTTGATTTTATTTAGACGTTAAATGATAAGTTATTGTAATAATAAAACAGTGTATATCACTCATTTATAATAATAATAATAATACACGAACAGTAGCATACGGCCGATTAACCACAACAATAGCTATTTCTATAAAGTACAATATATCTGAAAAATTCAAAAGACATTTATACGTGGGGGAGATCATTAGCCTTTGGCTACTTAAATCAATATAAATTTGAACACGTTTGTTTTTTATACTGTTTACACTAGCCTGTCTAACCTCGTGGGCTTTCCCTCCACTGCTTAAGATCTCTACGTGCTAGCAAATTGTTGAAATAAAATTGAACCATGTTTTAGTCCCGAAATGACTTGGTTTGTGTCGAGTGGACGTTAAACCCAATTTCTCTCTCTCTTTGTTTACAATAGTGTTCAATAAGCTGGTCTTTGGGTGTAAGGTGTATAAAAGATAGGATTAAATCCAGTGGGTGAATGTAGCTATTGAAAGAGATGGATATGAGAATGTAGCTTGAAAGATATGGGTGCGAGAATGTAGTTTGAATCAAATGGGTGCGAGACTGCAATCTGTTTCACAGAGAATTACGAGTCCTCTCTAATATCTCTGTAAACGACGACTGCCTTTAACACGTGCCGTCACAGCACGCGGCGTCAATCATTGGTTGAGTGGCGCGTGCATTGTTTACGTAAGAAGTTACTGCTTCGGGCAGAATGCTGCCTTTTAGTCATTTTAATACCCATTTACACTAAATAGGAAATATTCTTTACCTACAAATACGTCAAACGTCTTTATTTATTTTTCTAATACATCAAAAAAATGTTTTAGAATTTAATTTGTCGGTGGAAAAAAGTTAATATTTGAGACGCATTAAGTCGCATTGATGTCATCCTTATCAGTAATTGTAGCGACCTAGAGAATATTCACCTCTGATTAGTGTAGTTTGAAACAGATGGGTGCGAGAATGTAGTTTGAAACAGATAGGTGCAAGAATGTAGCTTAAAACCGACATGTGGGAGAAAGATAAAGAAATAGGGTTTAACCAAGAAGCGTCTTGGGTTTGATGGTTGTGAGAATGTAGTTCGAAATGTAGCTTAAAATAGATGG